CTTGTAAATTAAAAGATTCCTCCTCTGAAATTTTGCATTAAGAAAAGTAGTGTACTTTATTACAGTTATTGTCAATTATAATTGCTCTGTTTCTACACCTGTTCCATTTCGTCGTTAATGAGACGCATTGGCTCGATAATGGGACTCCAAACGCGACCTAATTACGTCAAATATTTTTCCAATGTCCCCATTGTTCGTGCAGTACATACTAATGCTCTGGTCAACTTCTTCTTGGGCCGCTTGTATAAAATGCGCGGAAAATCAATTGCGCAACATTATAACGAGCGTTAATATGTCGTTTCCGACGATAATTAAGCACGATTCGTGACACGCGGAAGTGGAACAGGAAAATTGATGACGGGCGCGCGACTGAGGAAGGAATCGTTGCAAATTCCGGTCGCTCTGTGTGATTTGAGATACGGTGAATTACCAAAGAGAGAACTCGCGAGTCGCGGAGGGAGAGAGGAAGGAAGTCGTGGCGACGACGGCGTGAGATCCACTTATTCAATCAACGGCATTCAGACCGATATAAATGCGAGTCGCAGCGATCCTTGCGCGCATAATATCGGCCGCGTTTGTCGACGACTACGTTCCGTTCGTCGTTATCGCGACGCGTAAATGCGACGATAACAACGCGAGATCGCGAGACTCTGCGCGAACAAGGTCAACGGAACAATTTCGCGGGTGCAACAGCGCCGGCCGGTCCAATCCACTTTTTCAATGACTCGACTCGAAATTAATCTTGGAGCCGAGAAAATTAAATTCGTAAAGCTTAATTTGGCCCAAACTTTAATTGCGGGAGCATTAATTGCAGGAGAATTGCGGCGCTTTGCGCGAAAGAATTTTAATATCTAGGATCTGAGTATGAATGGATAAATGAAACAGAGCAGGTTGGTTTATTTTATCTCTAAATTTCGCGATGACTAATGATAAATTGCATTCTTGATAATTACATCAAATTTATTTATTGTTATTTTTTTAATATTATTTTACGCGTTAAAAGTAATTGCCACGCAACATAAATAGGAAAGAAAATAATTTCTATTCATAGCAAAAAAGGAAACCATAACGACGACGGGCAATTGGAATCGTTAATGGACAAATTGTTCGCCTCCGGGGGTTTCGGTGTTTGAACGTCGATAAATTTGCATGTTCGACAGGAAAGGGCAGCCATTATACAAGCCCGCGACCGCTTTCTGATCGTTTCCGATCCGCGAGAATTGGTTCAATTTGTTCGATTGTTCTTCTGCGGAGCAGAAAGGAGGATTGCAATTGTGGTTAACGTGTTCTCGTAATCGCACAGTGCCGTACACAAAATATCACTACTATCTTGTAAATTCGTATTAATGGACTTTGCTTGAAAAATATTTTCGTTGTCACACTAAAGCTTTTACTAACTTCTCTATTAAATTTCATTAGTTTGTGTATTTATTTACTCGTTCCAAAAGAAAAAAATATCTTAATAAACAATAAACAGAAGTCAGATGCGTCGTCCTCAAACTACGAAAATTACGGAAGCGCGGGACGGAAAAAAGGGGTTGGAAAGAAAAATAGACGGGAGGAAAGAGCGCGGAAACTTTGGTCGAGAAATTCCGTCCTCCGTCCCTTCGGCTGTTTGTATTCCGCCCTTTACTCGCAACCCTTAGCAGCGCGGTCGCTTCTTTTTGCTCCACTTCGCGCGGGCGGGCGCGCGCGCGCGCGTGCATAGTCGTTTGCTTTTATTTTACTTTGCCCGGACTTCGTCCTTACGATCCACCCGCGCTCGAGCTTGAATCGAAAGCGGAAATTGCGAGATTCGTGCGTGATCCCTGCTTATTAAAAGCAGCAAAAAGGCGGATATTGGCGCGTCATTGGCTCGATTCAGTATACCCCGATACAATATACAAGTAATTGCTGCCTCGAGACATTCTCGGTTAAAATTGAAGCCGGGCCGAACTCCAATCAGTTTCCGTCTAATACCTCGATACATTTGACACTCGGATGGAATCCGAGATTCTATGAAGCATTGATCTTGCATATTTTGTTGTATCTGAAGCTTTCAATTATATTATCTAATTACATTAAAAAGTTTCTTCTGGGAGATGAATCATACGCCGTTTACTTCGAAAACGAATTAAATTAATTAATATCGAAGCATATTTAATATATAAACCCCATTCTTATTTGCATTTTAGTAATAAGAATAAATAGAAAAAGAGGAGGAACTATAATTAAAATAAAAATAATTATATCTAGATAGAAATCATAAAATAGCAGAATTTTATATAGCAGGACATATGGCATGTTAAAGACTGCATCATTACGGTCGGAGCAAAGATAATCACTGTGATATCATACCTGCCACGCGTTATAATATACCGCAGAACAAAATACTAAATAATGTAGATTTCACCGAATGGATGCGAAAGCGTATCTCGCTACTCCGACTAATGCGACTCGATGATTCGCGAAACATTATTAAAGACCAGTAAACACGGCCATGAAGCACGTTCGATTGGTTGCTGCGGTATCAAATCGTGGGAAAGAGAAAGAGAAGGAGAGAGAACCGTGGAACCGACACTGCGAACGTAATCATGCGAGTTTGATCGGCGAGCAAGCAAATAATTGCGCCAGTCTATCGCGAATTGTATTTCCAGCTTTATACATACTTTATGGCCGCGGGATAGATTTTCCACGTTGCAGAGATGTCGGTTTCGCTGTGATCGTTGTATATAGGCAATGCTATGCAAAAATGCTGTGGAAAAATTAACTAGCAGAAAACTTCAGGCAGCGAAACTGGCTCACACAGGTAATATGGAACTTTGAATTTTTAATACATTAAAGTTCAGCAAAGTACATGTACATATATTGCGTACATGTTACTGTCATTTATTTCAGTTAAACTGGAAGTAGAAATGCGTACTTTTTGAGCTGGCATTTATACGAAAATACGCGGTTTCACAAATCGATTTAGAAAAACAGTTATGTGTAATATAGTTGGATCAATAAAATGAAAAACTCAACGTTTTAATCTGTCGAAACTCATTATATATAAATGCATCATATTTGTTTAAATAAAATCAACGGCATTAATGCATAAAAAATATGAAAATAGTTTTTGTAATGTAATTAAAATTAATACTTGCAAAATCGAATATTCAGTTTTGCACAACATCGTACATGTATAATAGGCTGGTGCATTCGGCGATTAAAATCTAATATAGTTTCGAGGATTGTTAGATTATCGCGCGTCGATTTGGCTACTATTGGAAACGAGGATGAAAATAAAAAGAGAAAAGCAGGGAACGGACGTTAATCGTGAATTTGTTGCACCACTCTCGACTCGTATCGGAACGAAGGATGGAGAGACGAGGTGGAGGTTCATCTGAATCTCGATATTCCCGTTTACGTGGCTGGAATGCAATTCCACGAGATCCGATAAAATCGCGCTTTCCTCCCCTTTCTCCCCCCTCTCTCTCTCCCTGTCTCTTTCTCTCTCGGAGATTGTTCCCATCGACTATTCCGCTGTTCCAGAACGGCGAATCAAGAAATTTTGGCAACGAGCTATCTCGCGGTAACCCGAAAAAGAGAGAGAAAAGGGGAAAGATCCGATCGTCGAGAACGCAGCTCTTCCAACCCTTCGTCTTTTCGACTTCATGTATTCCTCTTCTCGGGTCTCCCTCTACCCTCACTCTCGCATAGCTCGAGGGAAGAAGAAAGCGCATTCTTGCTGACAGATAGCAATTTACGACGTATCATAATTTCGACGGAAATGCACGGTTATCGCGGAATATCTTGGGTGCCAGCAAAACTGTTGCCAAGGGAGCTTTGCAGATGCCGAGTAATAGTAATGAAGAAGCGAAATAGTTTGTGTTGATAAAGCGAAATATTTGCCTCGGTACGTGATTTAGTTGGATTTATTAGCGGAATAGCGGAAATTCGCATAACTTCTGGGAGATAACATTAATTATATTTTACACATACAAATTTTCCATGGAACTATTATATTAAAAATGGTGAAAGATGAGTATGATGCATAATAGTCATAAATATTTTAACGATTTGGATTTCATTTATAACGTTCTCAACAATAAAAACTGACAATCAGATCGATGTAAATCTGGAGGAGCTAAGTTTCACGCAACTCACCCGTTTCTGCCAAACTGTCAAGCGAAAGAAGAATAACTATCTTACGTGCTTCTTGTGAGATATGTGTACCGATTAAAAAGCAATTTATACACGTTCGCGGTATAGAAAATCCTCGGGATGACGGATGCCTGCATCGCGTGCGAGGGATCCGTAGGAGGAGAAAGACACACGGTGGTTCCTTCCTCTTCGTCGCGTGCGTAAGGGAAGAAAGGGCGCTCGGTGTGCGGTTTCAATATTTCGGTCACATAGCCGAGGTTCGGGAAAGTCGAAGAGCGGAAACCGGATCACCGGGGTGGGACGCGTGGGGTGGAAGAAGGTCGAGGGGGATGATTTTTTTTTCTCTCGCGGAGGATACGTTCGACGGGAAGGCGTCCTCCTCCTCCCACGGAGGGGAACTCGCTCCAACAAATCTTCCTCGGGAAGCCTCGAACTCGTCGAAGACGCCGCGAAGAAGTACCGACGAAGCCTTTTTCCCAATCCCGTCTACTTTATTTGAGAGCGCTATAGCTTCTCCAGCGAGCTTACTATCGACGTTCTACGTTCTATTATCCTACATTGAGAAGAAAAAGTTGCCTGATGGAACAAAATGCATTCAATCAAGAATAAAATCAAGCAATTCATATAATTAATGAGACACGTTTCGTCGATAAAGACGTTAGATATAATTAAAATGCATTGACGAAATTGTGTCAACATACAGTTTGTTCGATAAACTTGATATCTTTTAGATGAGAATAAGATTGCTGATTTTATTCACTTGAGCAAACTTTTTTCTCGGTGCAGTGTTTCCAATACGTTACGCATACATTTGAAATTTTCGAGTGGAAGATGATAAAGATGATATATAAAAGGTGACTTACCATTTGTCGCAGGTTCTTTTGTTCCCCGAGGAGGGCTGGGCGAGAAGTGCGAGTAGTTCCTACTGGACCTTGACGCCGTTCTGGTGGAGCCGGAGCCGGTGCAAGGTCGTCGAAGTCGCTGGAACAAGAAGGTGAGAAATTATTATTAAATTACAGTTGCATCACGGATGCAATTTCGATATTCAAGAGGCAATCAACGAGTATCTCCTTTTAAGCATCTTGTGTTTCATCTTACAATTCCGTAACGCCACTTCCACAATCATCGTTCCTCATCCGTTCGATATTCGTTTATATTCGATAATTATCATGTGATACCCGTTTGCAACGCGTTTCGGATCTTGACGTTCAGGATGCGCGCCGCGTTATCCCCGTCGAGATAACGAGCTCATGAGGGCACACTGTAAAGTGGATAGAGGTGGATAGAGGTGGAACGCGAACGGAGACAGAATACCGTATAACCGAGATAGGGTGAGACCTCTCTCCTCTCGGCGCGGCGGTCGTATCACTTTGGGAAACTAGGGCCCGTCTAACTTTCCAGCGTCCATAGATTTCGGCGCCGTTAAGGTCGCCGGTCGGTGGTCGAAGCCGATAAGGGGCTCGCGATTTATAGCGATTCGTTCGATCGCGCGTGTGTGCGCAGAAGAAAAGACGTCCTCATTGTCTTCCTCCGAATGTTGAGAGCCATGATAAATCTCGAGGAGGTGGAGACGAGTCGGCAAGCTTTGGACCGTGCGATAAAATCGCGATGTTTTACGACGCCCAGGATCAAATGTTGTACCTTAAATTTTCTAGAGAAAATTTTGTGTGTCCTGCGTTTTTTCTTTATAAAAAAAAACCGCCCGCAAAAACATCACGGAGAGAATTTGTTGTTATATTTTACCCTTAAATTCACTACAAACTTGGGACAACTTGGCAACCAAGGAATTTTTAAAATATACAAAACATTTTACAAACAACGTGATAAAAATTACCAAGCAGATTGGTAAATTTTGAAAAATTATTGAAATTTCCTAGATATAATTTAGTAAAATTAATCAAACATATTTTATATTTTAAATGTAATAGATATTAATATTTTTTATTATGGTAGATATTAATCAGAATAGCTTGCATAAAATTCTTGGTGGTATACGTTGTCCCACTACCATGATTTCAGGGTAAATTTTAAGAGAAAATTCTCTCCATGATTATGCGCGATGTTTATTTTAATAATTAATAATATACTGACAGAAGATATTTAAATATTTTGTTTCTGTGCAAATTATTAGTAATAAAGGACATTAAAAATAATACTTATTTTAACTCTTTCCTACATATAATTTATCATTTCAAATAAAAAGTAAAATATTTCTTAAAAAAGTTCAGTACTAGAACAAGAAATGTACCTATCAATATCAAAGAAGAATTATACAATTTGATCATCTGTTTCAAAGATAGAATATCAAGAGAATTTGCGCTGAAGGCTATCCCATAACCGTATACAGGTCATATTTTGAATAAAAAGTAAAATATTTCTTAGAAAAGTTAAATACTAGAACAAAAAATGTATCTATTAATATAAAAAAAAAAGAATTATACGGTTTGATCATCTGTTTCAAAGATAGAATATCGAACGAATTCATGCTGTGCTATAGCCGTATACATCAGGTCATACACCGATTAATATATGGTCAAAATGGATTTCGGAGGCATCCTTAGCGCGGCGCACCGGGCATAGACGAGACGTCTCCGCAGGATCGAACGGAGTTTGCGAAGACGCGACCGAACTTGCCTAAATATCCCTCGGCTCCGCTACGGAGTGCCTGTATGTCCGTCTCCGTACGGCTAGCTGAGCTACGAGAACCGTGGCTGCCCGTCTTAGTAAACACGTGGCATAACGGCTCTTGGCTGCACAAATCAATTTCCACGCTCCTATCCGTGGACACGTGTACAGTTTGCGTTATTCTCTCTGACAAGGATACCAAATACAAACGATATTACTCCGCATGGCCATGTATTTTGACCGACTGTTCAATTTACTCCGATCTCGGCCCGATTTTCGAGAAAAGACATTCCATTTCGATTCCGATAGTTTTTTGGTCAACAAAAATTTTCAAGATTGAAATAAAAACCATCTGAGATCTCGAAGATTGTTACTTGGATTTTCAACCGTTTTTGTTTGACCAACAAAAATTCTCATAGTTAGAGCGTTAAGATATCTATATTTAACCCGATTCGAATCTCGAAGATCGAGATTACTCCATTCTAATCTTCAATCTCGCTGCTCAGTCAACAAAACTTTGCCAATCTCATGTTGGAACATCAAGATAGTTACATCGAAATCGAAGTCCAATTTATCCCCAAAAATTACTGTTTTATACCGATCCCCCCCCATCATTGCTCGGTCAACAAAAGCTTTTACGACGGGTTGAAACGCGACGACAGTTCGATCGGCTCGTTGGTCGAGGAAATCTCGCCCATTTATCTTCATCGAGGATTTCGACCTTTCACGCGGTGCAATCGACTGCAACCAAATTCAAACCGATTGGGGATACTTGACAAATATGTCGCGATGAGCTCGTCAATTTATCGATAATGAGCCAATACATGCTCTAGAAAGTAAACAATATCTCGAGGGTATCGATAATATAACCACTGATGCACATTAATTATCAACGTAATTATCGTCGCTAATTGGTTCGTGATTTTGCTAATTGACATTCGATATCATCCAGTTCTTTTTTCCTTCAAAAGCTTAATTAGTACTTGTCCCTCAAAAAGTGTTCTTATCACAATTTTATCGCAATGTTAATTTACTTCTTCGCTCAACTGATACTACATTTACGCGAGCGTTACTTCTGTAGTAACTTACGATAATTCACTCGTTTACGCGGAGTAAATTATCGTAAGTCACTACAAAATCCCGTTTATGTGAAGGAATTATCGTAAGTTACTATTATACAGAAGTAACGCTCGCGTAAACGTAGTATATAAGAGGGAGATAAGCACTTATTGTATATTTATTATATAGATATTTGTGATATTTGTGATATTCGCGCTAACTTGTCGATACAACAATATGTGATCGCCGATATAAATAAATAACATTTCGATCCTGTGTAGTTCATTTTTCCTTCCAACTGATAGACATTTATTACAAGTATTCGGTCGTGTTCGCTGCCAGCTGGTACGCATATATTAAAAGCACTTCATGCGAGATCGTCGATAACGTCAAAGCGGAAAAATCGAGAGACGTGTTGAAAAGCGTTCTAGAGGCATGTTTACGTCACGGGCATACGAAGTCACTATCTACTATGCCCGCATAGTTGCGTAAACGCTAGAAAAGTGACGTCTACATGCCTTTCTTCGACGGTTCGGATTTTCCCTTGCACACCTTTTCCTTTCGGGGAAAGCCGGGGAAATCAAAGCGACCGAGACGCGGCAGACTACGAACCGAGTGTCGGATGCGCCGCCGTTCGCCTCAATGGAGGCCGTTTAAACTTTTAATGATCGTCGTCGGTCCTCGAGAAGTATCTCCGCCGGAATAAGCCCCTCGAGTCGACTGTGCGGGTGTTGGTGAATTCTACTGCCTGCACCTCTGCCTCTTCTATCTCTCGTTTACTTTCTTCATGCAGAAAAAAGAGTTTTCCTCCTCGAAAGCCTTTAGATAGAATCTTTTAACTTGATATTTATTATTTTTATTTTTGCACAGTTTGTGTATGTCATTATTTAATTTACATTTAAAAGAGAGAAAGAAAAGAGAAGGAGGATTTTCTAACATGAAAATATATTACATCTTAGTTTTTAACTAAATTTTCTTCTTCAAAAATAAAGAGAGAAAATGTAGCTTTATGTGAAATTCATGTATTAAGTTGGACTTATAAGATGTTGTATCTTTTATAAAAGATTTGAAAAGATAATACAGTCCATAAATAAACAAATATAATATATATGTATGTATATTTATTTCACCATTATTATTATTAAAAGCTTGTGATTTCTCCTCTTATTAATAAAGTTTTTATAATAATTATACTTATATATAAGAATCTAATAAATATTATAATACAATTGGAAATGTACATTTTGTTATACTCTTTCCCTTTTCACAATCATAAAGTCTCTCGTCACCAGTCAAGTGAAAGTCGCCCTCGTCTTCTCAATCATTCCCGCTCTACAATTTCCCCTTCGCGTTCATCGCATCGATGGAGATCGTGTGGCCTAAAGACACGGCACGTAGCTAACGACGATCGTCAATTACCCTAACAATGCGCATTTGAGATGGCCCACAAAAGTTTCAAATCGACATCCAAGTTCAAACACATCAAAAACTTCTACTGTCCAATAATAATTTTATACTGACATATAGCAGATAAATTAATAAATATAGAAATATAATTTTTTAAATTAATATTATTATTATTTAGCAAAAAAAGTAAAAAGAATTGGGACGATTAAGAAATGTTGAATAGCTTTCGTTTTGTTGCTTAAATCTAAGTTTAGGTTTCAATTTTATTCTTATTTTTAATAAAAATAATCTGTCAGAACAAAATGTGCACGGGAAGAACAGTTTTGCTGAAGTATCTAACAATTTAGCTAGATGCAGATCTAAAAATAATTTTGTTGCACCATCAAAATAATTACGTAGAACACTCAAACTGATTGCTAAAATATCAAAAATTTTTACAGCATTATCATCATACTTCAGCGACCTACTATAATTATTTTGATGGTGCAACAAAATTATTTTCAGATTTGTATCTAGTTAAATTTTGAGATACTTCAGCCGTTCTTTCCGTGTGGTATTTTCTAATTCGTAAAATGTATGATTACTGTATCCTCGAATTGGTATTAATTAAATGCGTAACAAATTGCCAGAATTTCCTATCGTAATATAAATATTTTCGCAAGTTTTTACAAAAGAGTAAGTAAGAATTGATGAAATCGCTTCCTTATATAAGGAACGCCTTTTATAAGCATACACAATGCCTCGCTATTGTATAGTGCAACTCGGGACAGAGGGTAAGAATATCGAGAGTGTGCTCGAGGGTCGATCTTCTTCTCAAGGATTATGTCAAAGACGCTAGAAAAGCGAACGAGCTAAAGATGACGAATTGATAGCTCTCTGCTATATTCGGTGTATCAAAATCGATTACGCTTTTTCTTCTTTAACATTTCTTTCTTCCCGATACTATCCTATAAGACGCGATTCTTATTTTTTTTCTATCCATAGATTTTTCCACCGACTTGAAATCGATTGCCTCGTACAAAAAATATTATTGGTCATAAGGTTTTAATTCGAAAAATCGCGATTGTTTTTCAGGTACAGTACTCAGGCAAAAATGGTGGACACGGGTACGGGCACGCTTTATATTATCGGCTCGTTCAAGAGGATGACTACCGATCCCGATTTCAAGGTGTGGATTTATATACTTAAATTTATTAAATGTGTATTCCTTAAATCTAAGTTTAGGTTTCAATTATTCTTATTTTTAATAAAAATAATCTGTCAGAACAAAATGTGGTATTTTCTGATTTGTAAAATTATTATACGATTATTGTATCCTCCAATTGCAATATTAATGAAATGCGTAACAAGTTGCCAGAATTTCCTATCGTAATTCCTAAACTCGATAACACGCTCCATCAACTATATATAGCTCGCGTTAATTGTTAACAAACTCGTCGCTTGTCGTGCTTGTTAGTAGAGAAATTGCCTTTAACCTCTTTAAAGGCTACGCTACGTTGTATTTTTCCACACCGCTATTTACCTTGACTCAAAATTATTTCGAAATCATAAAGTAATAATTTACATATCTATAAATATACATTACAAATAAATAGGTAAACTATAAAAATTTCCTTCTATTAAGAATGCTATTCTTTTAATATATCCCTTCTTTCTTTAATATATCCTTTTAATACATCTGTTTACTTGTGTGAACAGGAAATGTATAATTCGTATTATAAAAATTACCTTAAGTTCTTTAAATAATATAATTAAATTCATAAACTCGAATTATACCTTATACATATATCGCACTAATTATTTTTTATCGCCGAAAGAACGTCGAGGCTCGCACAATTCTTTTAAACGGTGCACCAGACGTTATATCGGAAGCTCGCAGTCCGCCCCAGCTATAATCTGCAGATTGTCGGATTACGAGAAATTTTGTCTCCGTGATGATATTTAAGCTCGCGCGGGCAACGTATTCACGGCGCCGCGCGCCGCGACGCGATCAACATATCTCCACTTCGTCTCTCTCCGCGTAAAAAAGTATCTCCCGGTAAATGCGCGCATGCAATTTTTAGACGCCTCTATCTCGAGAGCCGAGAGTATACGCAGCGAGGACGATATAATTAAATAAATGAAATAAATATACGGCAACGCGGAAAACTTGGTATCGTTGCGCATTGTAACGCGCGCGCATTCGTCGTCCCCGTTTCCGCAATTGCGGAAACAGGTCGCGCGCGTTTTCTGCAAACGAATTAAACCAATTGAAGAATCGCATTCCCGACCCGCGCGGATGTCCGTCCCGGTGAATTAACAAGATCGCTTGGCGCTCGTGAAAAAAAAAAAAATACATTCCGACGATTCGTCGGGGACGGGGATGCCGCGAAACAGCCGAGGAAACACGCGAGAGCGTGACGCCGCAATATTTCCCGATGATAAATTTCATATTCGTCAAACATGCGAAATAACGGTTATCGAATTTATCACGGGATCATCATTACGTCGCGCTCGTTCACCATCGTGATCGCGCCGGTGGATATATACCATACGCGGAAAAATGCGATTCTACAGCGTAACGATCGTTAATCTTTTTACTTGAGAATATACGCCATGTTCAATCATCGTCATCGATCACACCGACATACTCTTTACGCGTCGAAATGCGTTGTCATTATTGTTTACCGCGACTTTTAATTTCGCCCCTTTTCAAGGAGCCATGTACAAAAATCCGCGAACGGACTTGCTAGAATCTCGGATGGGAATAACGAATAACTGTCGGCCGACAAAAGGCGTCGACGCGTCGCGCCTGTGTATGTATAGTATATGTACGTTGATGGCATGCCTCCGGCACACGTCGCGACGCGTTTTCGCGGCGTTTATCGGGCTGCCTGGAGAGGAGTCGCGTCAAGTGCAGACTTTTTCTCCGCGGAGGAAAGACCCCGGGACAACCACGCACGTATTCCCCAAATGCCTAAAGTAGATGCCATTGCGGGCAAACGACGGGGGAGTCGCATAGCTGCCGCGGGGGTTTTATGACGACACTGAAAAGGCGAAAGAGCCGCAACGTGTACATGCGCTTCTTACGCGTGTCGTCAAACGTATAATACTGGAATGTGTAGCGCGGCTGGCGGCTGCTGCTGCTGCTGTCGGAAAGTAACACGTGTCCACGCGCCAACAGTCAGCCATAACTGTCGCGCATGCAATTTTGATGGAGCGCCCGGCCTGCATAAAGGACAAGCATGACCAGCGTCGTGCTTTGAATCGGCAGACGCGAGCTTCCCCTGTGTTCTAATGATCTGCCATTGAAGTTCGTCGGATTGCGTCCGAAATATCATCTCCGGTAATAACGAAGGCACGAGCTACGTTTTTTAAATGTAAAATACCAAAAGAGCTTTGGGACGTTTTAATTAACACAGATACGCTTTACGGCAATTTTTTCCCAACTGGTTAACTTTTAATTACAAGCAGTCTGAAGGGATTTGGACGAATGGTTTTAGCCGCGCTTTTTTGTGTGTAAAATGAAATAACTGTATATATTTACGTTAAAGAAATACTGGCACACAAACGTAACAAAAATATGGCTAAAAAATACTTTTTATCATATTATACTATTCCTTTAATATTATTATCAACGTGATATCATTAATTTGTTATTATGGTTTTTATATATGTGTATCATTTACATTATATTATTAATAAAATTACTATTACTGTAATTAGCCTGAGGAATGTAGTGAAAAGAAGCTGCAGGAAACTCTTCGAGTTTCGTGTGTGCGCGCGAGAGCAACGCAGTGATATCGTATCGATCTGCTTGCCGCCCTGTTACAGCTGTACCTGACGTCGAACGTCTCGTCGAGCGACTTCAACATGGGCTACAGTATGACGGGCACGCTGGAGCGCGGCTGCAAGAAGACCAACTCCTTCCAGATGACCCACTTCGCGGTGATACGGCGGCGGGACTACGAGAAGGCGTACGAGGACCCGAATCCCACCTAGTGTCCGTCCACACCCACGCTCTCCGAGTGTGGGGACTGCGAGCATTACACGTAGCTGGGGGGTGGGGGTGGGGGCAAGGGGCCGCCGGTGCCAGGAGGAGAGAGATGCACTTCCGCGTGCGTTTGCATTCGCCGCACGATGGATCGTCGGGAAGGAGTCGCTCCTTAGCGCGAGATCGATCACGAAATCCCGAAGCTCCTGGCAAGGTCGGTTCAACGAACGTATCCTCGAGGCGGTTCGATCGCGGATCGAGAACCTTTTAGAGAAACATCTGTGTACAACATTAGACCGCTAAATCCGCTTGTTTGCATTTCTCATTTATCTCGCTCGCTTCTAAAAGGAGTAATAAAGATAGGGTATAATCGTGCATAGACAAAAGCTGGAGATAGAAATGTATTAAAAAGTAAAAAAGTATGAGGCGAAAGTGGTTAAAAAGATAGTAGAAGGATAAACAGAGAAGAAAGGCGAGCACCGCATTTTATTCTATATAGTTATCTACATTTCTCTTGTAAGACGTTATAAGGATGGGAGATAATCAAAAGTGCGAAGAAGGAAGCTTTAATTCGCGCAAAATCAACGTTAGCGCGTGGTAATAAGAGATCATGGAGATGAAAGAAGGAAGGGAAGATCAAGATAGAGTGAATTATGAGGCAAAAAGAATGCTGAGAGTTTTAATTCCTACAGGGTAAATATTTCTTTTGCGAGATTTCCCACAAAATAAACCCGTGATGGATCCTTCACGGTAACCAAATTCTTTGAAGATGGCAATGTTCTTTTGACTTCTAAGATTATGCATATAATTGGTACAATTTTTTCCTGTATATCGGAGCTTGCGTTAGGGTTTAATTAGCGCTCTAATGGACTACACAGTGTCTCTCTGTTACCTCGAATTGTCAAGGTACGTTATTTTCGCGCATAATCGAGTTCGAGATCGGATGAAACCTGGCAGCAGCCTGAAAACAACAGCGACGCTTCGTTTCTTCGAGGAGGTAAGAATGGCTGTAGGTTCGTTATTATCGCGAAATATATAGAAACAAAATACCAAAGTTGAGTGGCGGCCCTGCGCGACAGAGCCAAACGTCCAAAGATAGTCCTTAAATTAGATCGAATTAATTAGCTCTTAATGGAAGTCATCGAGCGATGCGTATACCTAAATACCTATAAGCGAGGAAGCGTATATACAGAGAGGAGACGTTAATCGAGAGGATGCGAAAACTGTTTTACCAAAGTACTAGCACGTAAGTTACTTGCAAACTTTCTGCCGGCGATAATCCAAGATCGCAACACACACTCCTCCAATCCACAAGGTACACTGCTTCTCATCGATCGACGCATCGATGGCTGCCGCCGCCTCGTCGAGATTACAATTAGTAAGTGATTAACGACTAAGGCTTTTCCTTTCGGCGAATCAGCTGTCTAGAGTAGTGTTATATGTGCCAATTCAAAAAAGCCATCGTTGACGAGCACTGTACCTGGCAATTACTACAAAGTCAGAGCGCGCGAATGCGCACGGTGAAAAGCCGGAGACGGACGAAACGATGTTTCAAAGCCCATTTCGCGGCCAGTCGAAAGCTTAAAAGCATTTAAAAGAGATCCGCAGAACCATTGGAAGGGATTAACACATTGAGAAAAGGATTAAAACGTCTTTCGGCTTTGTATGACACTGCCAACTTTCTAAAATGGCATCGTCTGGCTTTTGCTCTCTTCAGTTCTCTTATAATATGTTCATACAAGTGAAAAATTTGATCGACAGTAAATTCTTAGAATATCTAGTCAATAATCTTCCTTCGATATTTATTGTAACGTAAGTATCAAAATTTTTTATGCAATTTAATTTTCGAGTTACTCCAGAATCGTACACAGTTCATCGGTTTATACCTTCAACGATCAAGTTTTCCTATTTTGACCGGTTTTGCCGAGGGACGTCTATCGCATTTCAAGTTTGACGGTTCGCTAGAATGGAAAATTTCATATGGCGGGGCCCGTGTCAGGACGCCGGTTATAAATATCGTTTCGCTGGTCTAAGGCTTTATAGACAGTATATAGCAGTAGCGTGTAGCCGGCTTACAAGGTATTTCAAAGCTTGTTACGCGCCCCTTTCTTTGAGCCACCGCCGACGGACGTCGCTCAAGGAAGGAAGAAAAGCCGCGGGAGAAAGAGAGCTTCGCTGCACTGACGCCGGACACACACGTGACACAAAGCGAGAGGCGTCTCTCTCGCCCTTACCTTACGTACGGGATCATCGTGAGCCGGTGTTGTAAACGCGTAACACGATACTTATTTTTGCTAAAGAGTAGGAAGTCACTCACACCGGTCACGATGTATCCCGATGAGATCTAAGTCAACGATCGCCGATCGTTCGTTCGGGACGGGATGCGATCCCAGCGAGAAAAACAAGGAAAAGCCGTTAACGGGACGGTCATAAAAGATTTGACGAGTCTTTCCTCTATGTCATATTTTATTAACGTGAAATGATTGATTATTATCCGTATTAGCGAGTAAAGTTACGTTTTGATGCCAAATTTAAATTATTTATTTATTAAATTATTGTTACTTGGCTCCCTTTTCGTGATTGTTTAATAATATTAACAATGTTATTAATGTTGCGTCGCGAATTCTCGAATCGTTTCTACAAGTACCAATGGCAGGAGTGTCTCGTACGAGTTTAACACTGCTGTCGTTAGAGAAGAGCCGATGAACGGCGAACGAACGGTCTCAGAGACTCTATTATAATAAACTCGTCGTGCGTAACTCCCCTTTATATAGTCCTCGAAGAAAATCTAGTACCTACCGCTTTTGCTCAAGGAATTACCTATAATGCCAAATAAATACTATGTGCAATAGTGCGCAAGAAAGTTGAGTCATTTGCATTTTGATATTAAGATATGCATTACGTTAAGAGCTTTCGTTTAACTATTGAGGTAAAGTAAGATGCATTTTTCGAGCGTTGGACAAAATTCTAGAGAACGCTGTTTTAGATTCTTTCTCTTAGGGACGCATCATGGTAGTTACTAAATCTATGTGTCAGGAATTCATTAAAATAATCCTTTCAGTATCAAATTCAATACAATTATTGCAACCATTACTTTTCATTAATTTTTTCATTAATTTTATTATCAATTTTGATTTCTCGTTAATAAACGTTAAATTAATGATCCGTGAATCTCTGAATATAACAGTGATTTTATAGTTAGTTACCGAATTAAGAAAAGATGATGTTCAAACGAACTTTCATAGTTTAATGAACATTAAACATATTAATCTTCTTAATAAACTACAATCCTAAATTATTAATAAAGTTCAATCTTTTGTGCATGGTAGATAACGAAAAGTAACATGCAATATATGGCGTAAGCATACTGAAAGGATTAAAGAGAAAAACTTTATAGCTGACTGTCTTAATTGTTCTTTACTTTAACGGGTGCTGGATAACGCGCGCATCGACGCTTTTCTCGAATTAGCGTGGATAGAGGCAATAAAATCCAGTCAGATTCCTCGAGCCTCTCATTCGAGTGGAGTTACATGTTTACAGGGTTTAGCGTTGTTTCGCAATTCAAGGGAGTAAAAAAAAGTTTTTTCAGCAATTTTTACCTAATCAGCGCTTCGATAGAAATTCCGATCGCTGGAGAAAGGAATAATTCTGTAAGCCGATATTGCTCGTGATACGGTAAGCTCTCGTTAGCTTGAGTCGCTCAACGCCACAGATCCTTCTCTGCAGCTATTATCCATCACGAACTACACTGCTAGTTTCGAGTTTCTCCGAATTCGCTCTAACGAGGGTTCATTGCACATCAGGTACTTGCCACTGTGAGCGCCAGAATCAAGTTCGTTATCATTCGCTGCGTTACTTGAATTGCGAAAATCAAGTAAAGAATTGATAAGATAAGTGTACCATTGCATGTATATAAGTATATAGTGTACAAAACTCCTACGCATTTACACTCACGTACACACACACACATACACATGCACACACACACACGCACGCATACAATAACTCCTTCCGCGAGTAGATGAAATTTTGCGAGATTCTCGTTGATGTTGTAGATTAGTAGATTAGCACTCATCAGTCGCTTCTTTCAGCCGATCTAGTCCCTAGATCTAGCACGGACCGCCCGTCGTAGGTAGATTGTTTTCGGTAGCGGCGGATTATACCTATAAGGGGTTACACCGAGAACGTTCGCAAGTCTATGAACTACAAATTCAGATTCTAGAATAGATCGACGATAAAAATTATAGTGGCAATTTTCGTGACTCGTTTTTCCTAACTGAGGGTTATTTCCCTAGTAAAACATAGCGCACTTCGTTCAACACGATCCGCTTTTCTTCTCACTTGCTGAAAAGCTTCACTTCTGTTTTATGGCGCCGCGGCTCCCAAGCTCGACAACGAAATTTCCGGCGTCGAACGAGCAAGCGAGCGAGCGAACCCAGACGAGACGACGACGTCTCGCTCGGTTTCCTGACTCTTAAGATTCATGACCGCCGGTTTATGACGCTCTCGATTGACGTGACTTGACAGGAAGTCGATCTATGAGCGCGGAACTTGTTAAGATCCTCGGCAAATCGCGAATATTTGATACCTTCCGCTCTCTTCCTACGATATCGGTGCCATTTACGGCCAAAATTCCCGTTGGCTTTTAAAACCCTCGCAAAACGCGACAAATATTTTCGACTACGTGGCAGTGAAGCGCAACGAGATGTCGATAATATTGGAAAATTTCCTGGATAGTCACAAACACGCGTCCATTATATAGCGAAAATCCCGAATCAACTTTTTTTCCAAATAAAAACGTCAAAGTGCTAATTTTTCCAAGTTATTAAAATTTTGCCTTATTTTTAATTTAAGCGATTAAATTTTCAATTAAAATGCATGATAAACTTAAGAAATAAAAAAAATTTGATTAGTACGATTGACACACACTCAAATTTTTGAAACCGTAGAAAATCACAGAAAATGTCCGATATTATTATGTCCAATCAAATTTTTATTGATTGCAAATTCAGGACTTTAAACAACTGTTATTTTGGCGTATCATCAGTATGACACACTGTGCATTTATTCAGTTCATGTTCGCTGCGAAGGTTCTCGGTTTCGCCTCCAGCAGAATAATAGTATCGTGTCGCCTAAAATGTTAGTCGTCGTAATGTCTTCACTTTTTGGGGTAGTCTTTTATAAGCCTTTTAGGATGATTTAAGTAAATACGTACGTCCGATATCACGGTCCCTCCTAACTACTTAGCCGTAGTCTAGACCCACTGATGCACGCTTCCTTCAAGTCTAAAGAGAGGTCACCTATCTTCGTCTTCAAGCTGCATAACGGGTCTCTAGTCTATCTTATTGCGTCGCGCTACCTAATCGCATCCGAATCGCTCAAAGTATATTCAATTTAACTTTTAGACGTATTTCAAATAGTTACATTTATTTAATAATTTCGTTAATGTAATTATATTCTTGATAACATGTAAAGTAATTTACATTTAAGCTCGTAAAGAAAATCTCTCTTGTAGTCGAGGCTGTGTTCCTTAAAGATTTTAATTTTAATTAAAACGCACTAAATAATGAAACATAATTATAAATAAAACACTCGAGAAATTTTTACTTGTACCTCGACAGCTTTCAAATAATTTTTAATATACACGAATTTGTTAAAACATTCTTTACAGCGGCCAAGCTGTAATAATTGAGAAATTTTATTTTACATCAAATTGTGATAAAAATTAAAATATAATGATTATCAACAAAGTATATAA